CCCCGCCCAAAAAGCTACCGCCGACAGGTCTGTGGCGTTTCATCTTTGTGTGAGTAGCCAAAGCCTCACACATGTCACACTGCGTGTGAGAGGTCGCAGCATGAGCCATTTCTGTTGCGGGCGCAGCGTTTGACTGCGCAACAGCCGGTTGTCCTTTCACGAAGCTGTGCCAGGCCAAGTCTGCGCGCGTCAGCGTGTGGGGCCCTTTGGAACCACGCGCGTGGGTTTTAGCGTGAAAGCTGCATGGGTTTTAGCGTGTGTTCTCTTGAGGGTCTTATCGCATGGAGCCATGGGGGCGTCTGAAAGCCTCGGGGCTCCGGCTAGGGTTCTAGAAGAGTTCTGGGAACAGCGGCAGATCGTGTTTGACTTCTTAGAGACGTAGGCAAGACGTGCAGCCTTGAAACACACCTGCTACTTTGGTTCCCCCTTGCCACCGTTTTGGGGAACCAGCAACACTCAGATGCATGTTCGCTTTTGCCAGGAGAGCAGTCTCGCCCCGGCTTGCGCAATGCCGCGCTAGTTGATTTTTGCGTTTGCGCGTGAGGGCAGGGTAGAAGACCGGCAAGAAAGCCTAACGCAAAGTGTCGGGTCTGCCCGCTGTAACTATAGCTTTCACTCACAGCCGATTGGAAAGACGAGTGGCAGGGAGGGAGGCGAGTTCTTGGCTGAGACAGGGTTCTTGCACCCTTTTGTGCAGGTCGAGCGGAGTTGCGGCGCCGTGCCTGAGGACACGGTTTTGTCGCGCAGAGCACATGGACTTGAGCTTTGAGGCGTGGGAGAGTTCGACAGATTGGGCCCCAGTCCTCGCACTTAAAAAGCTGCGAAGCCTCAGCCCTTTGTCTGAGGTGCGTCGTCCACACTGCTTGGCATGAGCGTCGAGGCCGGGGACGTTGCCCAACCCCTTCACCCCCGAAGACTCTTAGCGCTCTTAGCGGGGTTTCAGCTGCCGTTACTCCACGGAGTGCGGAGTGGTTCTGTTTCGCAGTAGAAAACATTGTTTTCTTAGAACGGGAAAAAACTACTCCGCGCATTTTTCAATGGTGTTTGCGTGCGTTTCAGCGCAGTCTACTCCGCGCAGCCCCTACCCCGCAACTACTCCGTGCTCCTTCTAAGGGGGGAAACCGATTCTCCAATTAAAAAAAAAACTGACTCCGCAAGTTCTTCAATCGCCATTTCTCGGCTACAAAATGGGCAGAGCATCTTTGAACTTGTTGGCCAAACGCCGCCTTGGTATTCATTGTTGCCTGTCACTAGCGCAGCATATGGGTCCGAGTGAAACTGTAACGCGGGACGAGCTCTGAACAGTTTGGGTGGAAGCTGCCGGTTCGTTTCTGTGGTGAAGAAAGTGCACCCTGACAAGGGGGGAGCTGTTGCTGATGCCCAGCGCTTGCAGCAAGCCCGGAAAGAGTGGCAGGATGCCAAGTCCAAAGCCAGTGCGGGAGGCGGTCGGCCGGCGAAGGCGGCCGTTGTGGCAACCGTTGCCAAGGAGGGGCAGCAGCGAACGCTCTACAGGATTCGGTCTACTGCTGTGCTGCTGACTTACCATGGCATCGTGGAGGACGCTTGGCAGGCGTTCCTTGCATTTGTGTCTTCGCACTTGACAGAATGGGGGGTCGCCAAGTGGTGTGCCTCCATGGAAAGGTGTGCTTCAGGCTTGCCGCACGTCCATTTCATGGTGCAATTCTTTGCGGCGTCTGACAGACGGGTGGTTGACGTGTTACGGTGCAAGACCAAACGCAAGCTCCACTGATGTGTGCGGGGAAGGGCTTTCCGGCAAGCAGCTTCAGCGCTGCGTGGACCGTGGCATGTTTTACGTCTTTGCAGACAAAATTGGCACGGTCTTTGGATGCGACGGCTTGCCGTGCACGCAAGGCAACTATTTGCCATGCTGGGCGCGTTGTGACAAGACTTACCAAGTCCTCGGCAAGTGGCCAGAAACCTTGTGGAAACAACGCAAGGTTACTTCGGCCACATATGAGAAGCTGGTAATCCTCACTCGGGACGGCGTGGTCTCCAGGAAGCGAAACCTTGAAGCTTGCCGGGAACACGAAGAGGCAGCTGCTTCGCAGCTAGCGGTGGCAGAGCGGGTTGCAAGGATTCGTTCCAACCCCAGCCTGTACCAACCCTTCAAACTTTTCGAGGTTGATGCTCTACGCTACCCCATCTTGGTTGTCCTCGGACCTTCCCGTGCAGCTTGTTCAAGCACCCGTTGGAGCTCAAGATTGGGACTTTGGAGTTCTTCCCCGACTCCATGCGTCAGTTTCAGCGAGGGGTGCACGACGGCCTGGTCTTGGATGATGTGAGGGACTTGGTGTTCCTTGTCAACCGCCAGGAAAAGCTCCAAGGCAAGTACGACTGCCTCGTCGAGTTTGGCTCTACAGCCGGCGGAACTTGTGCATACCACCGTGATTTGTTTGGCGCGCCCGTTGTTGCCACCGTGAATTACTCGACTAAGCACTTGGAGTACTTGGAGAGCCATGACTGGCTGGCCAACCCTGGGAACAGGGTTGTGGTGACGCTGGGAGGTAGCAATTCGTAAGTGGCCACTTAGTTTGGGATTTTGTTAACGCCAGACTTCTACACACGCTCTGGTTGCAAAAGACCCAAACCCGTGGGTTTGACTTGGAGAGGAGTGTGCGAAGCGCAGTAGCTTTTGTGGGTGTTATGATTGCGCCTTCTGTGTCGCTTTGCAGGCCCGGCGCTGACTGTCGGGCACTCAGCACGGTAGTTGAGTGGGTTGACAACAGTGGCTGCTCAAGTTTGCTACTGTCAGGCTTGGTGTTTTGACTGCGGTTGCCAGAAGCTCGTAGGGCGGGCTGGGTCGCCCAAGTTCGGTTGACGCCGCCGGTGCCTATGTTGCAGGTTTGCGACACACGCTTTCAGGCCTGGATTGGAGTTGCAAGCAATGATAGCTGACGGATTAGGGCAAAGCAGCCAGGCAGTCGCTCATGCCGCAACAATGTTTTTTCACCAGGTCTTTGAGTTTTGTTTGAACGGAACCGCTTCTTTTCGGCTCCAGCAAAGTCACTGCTTCTGTCTTGCAAGGCGGCTATTGCTTCTCGAGGTTAGCGCCGGACGTGTGGCCATGGCTCCCAAACGGAACCCGCAGCCCGATGTGCAGGCCTCAAGTGCAATTTTCTTGCTTGAACGCTGCAAACCTTGCAACGTTGCGCCCATTTTGACCCACAGCAGTTTTGTGCTAAAAGGCGCCTTGTTGCCTTAGGGTTTAGGGTGGCTGGTTTTCAAGCTGGCGCGGGGCACCAGGCTGACAAAGAGAGTCTAAGCAGGGCCCCCCGGCCAGTAAGGCACAAAGCCGTTGGTCAAGAGCGGGTTCGCGCACCAATGTTTTGCAAAGACGGCCAGGCAGCGCTAAATTCCTGTGCTCCTTGTTCAGTTGCTAAGCAGCGTTTCGTTCAAAGATTTTCCTGAAAGTCCAAGTTTGTGTCCCAATGGCGCTTCAGTCTTGGATTCCGTCAAGGGGGCCCTAAAAGCGGCAAGGGGCAGGGGGGGGGGGGGGGGGGGGGGGGGGGGGGGGGGAAGAAGTTCGCAGCAAACTGCTTGTATTTGCGTTGAGAGCCACGGTTGTTTTCAGGGTTGGATATGTGTCTTGAAAGTAGGCCCTGTAGGTTGGTCCTCTGCAGTTGCGCAACACCATTTCTGTGCTGGGCAGGGGTTTGCTCCACATTGAAACACCGCGGTCATTTGCCAAGCGCCGCGTGAAATCCCTTTTGAGCCACTTGCCCATTGCCCATTGCAGGAGTTAGGGTCTCAAACCAGACGGGCTGTTCACGCATGTGAGTTGACACAAGGGTTGGTCAAGTTGTTGCGTGGTTCTTGTCACACTTGTTTTTGGCTGTGGCTTCTTAAGTTGGCCTGACTAACTGCTAGTTCGTTGCGCAGAGTCGCGCAGCGCGTGTTGGGTTGGGTTTGAGAGTTTCATGGGGTTGGTGCAACGCGAGCCATGCTGGCAAACCCAGACGTGTTGAAGGCAGAGATGGAAGACGTGGGGCGGCGCTTGCGGGCGCTGCGTAAGCGGGCTGCAAGGCGACAGAGTAGGCCCCGTCAGAGGAGTCGCGGCTGGCGATGCGCGCCAGCCAGCTCCACGTGCATGGTGGTGTTAGTGTACAGCGGGGGTGTTGCAGAGGTGGCGGCGGAGTTTGCGCAGGGCCGAGGGTGGTGGAAGGGCCGGAGAGCGCTCGCTGGGTCTGCTGACGAGTTGCGGGAAATAGCAGTGGAGGTTGAGCAAGCGTACGACACGTTGCCCTTGGTGCAGATTGCGGCGCTCCATGGCGACCCTGTCAAGGCTGGCTTGGTGTCTGAGCCCCAAATGCTGGCTATTATCCGCTGGGTGGTGGAGCGCTCTCTCTACACCTGGACTGAAGAGCAGAACACAGTGCACGGTGTTGCGCCATCTCGCGCCCAACTGGTCGAGCGCGCCTTGTCTGCAATACCTCCTCTGGCCCCAGACGCATGGCGACAGAAGGTTCACGCGCGCATAGGTGCCAGTCAACGCAGCCAACGGAGATGGTTGGCGAAGTTCAGGTTGCGATGGGGGCTGCGCTTGGGAAAGCTGAAGCCGCGCAACCGCATATCTGTGGCCGAGAAGCAGTCCAAGGAGGGTCTGGGGCAACCCCGTTTTTGGTAGTGTCTAGGACGGCTTGAATTGGGAGTGTGTTTGGGCAAGAGAAGCTTTGAAAGGAAAGCGATTTGCAACCCTGTTTTTGGCCGCGCCCAGCGGTCCCGTTTTTGGTCGCGCTGTCCTTGCCAGGCCATGGCCTATTTCCAGTGGGTCAACGCAGCTTCGGCGGCCGCTCCTGCCCACCGCCCGCCATTACTCATCAACATGGACGAGACCGCCCTGGTGCGGCACCCCAGTGGTCTGGCGGGCACTGTCCTGAAGGTTCCTGCGGGCAAGCCCATCTTGGGCGACCCCTCGTCTCTGGGCGAGAGACGCAGCCACATCACGTATTTGGCCAGCATCACTCACGACGCAGAAGTGCAACTCCGCCTCCCGCAAGTTCTCATCGGCAATGAGCGTCAATTTTCTGCGGCCATGATGAGAAGCTTGCCGACATTGCCGGCGAATGTTCATGTTTGGAGATGCAAGTCTGCATGGAACAGTCATGCGTTGATGAGAAGGTTTTTGTCACTGCTGGCTTCATCTTTGGGTAGCGCTCTGAAGGACCGATACGTCATCTTGCTTCTAGATGTTGCTCCCTGCCATATACACCCAACAATTTTATCGCACGCCAAACGTTGCGGTCTCCGACTTTGCTACATTCCAGCGCTGATGACGGCAGAGCTGCAGCCGTGTGACACACACCTCTTCTGGCGGTTCAAATCAGCCTTGCAGGACGCGTGGCGCCGGGGTAAAGCCGCGTCTGAAGCTGGTTCCATCAGCACGGTGCAGTGGCTCGAGATTCTGGTCGCTGGCATACAAGCGGTGTTGCCCGCCACCGACTGGGAAGAAGCTTTTGCAGCGGTGGGAGCAGTGGCAGAGCAGTCTCGCTTGGGCCGAAGACTTTGTGATGCGCTGGAGTGGCAACAAGTTCCGACAGCGCCGGACGGCCTACCCTCTGTTGAAGCCGCGAGAATGATCTTCCCGAAGAACATGAAGGTGAACCTTGAGGCGTATGTCGGCAGGGAAAGCTGCTTGCCAAGTTCGCTTTTCAGCTGGCGCAGAAGAAGCCCTGAAACGCGGAGACGCCCCCTGCCTGCCACCTTCGTGGGCACGATGAGCCGCCCTCTGACCATTGACTAGAAAAGCTTGCTTTCTGCCCTTGCGCGAACCCCAGAGGACCACCTTTGGGGGCCCAAAACCGCAAGTAGTTTCCACACCCGAAACTGGCTTTGCCTCGCAGCGCCTCTGGCGTGAGCGTTTGTTTCTGTCACCAAGGCCCTCCTGCACCAGGAGATGGAGACTTTGAAGCAGCGTCGTGCTGCTTTAAAGCGCCAGTCTAAGGATGCTGCCAAAGACCAAAAGCTCCTCGCTGCCAAGCGCCAGCGCTTGCTCAAGGCCCGTTGATTGAAGGTTTTGCGGCGTGGGGCGAGTTGGCCCACAGGCTGCCAAGGGGCTTTCCGCGGCAGACCTCGAGCTCTTGCTCCAGCGCGCCCGAGCAGGCGGCCAGGATCAGAACGTAAGGTTGCGCGACGCAAGCCTTCCAGTTTACGCGCTGGCGGCCTGGGCCTGAGCAGCTCTTGACGGGCGACGCGACACGTTTGCGCTTTCAGCTGGTTTGGGAAGGGGCGCTGGTGGTGCCGATGGAGCTGGTGGCCTGGGTGGCCTGGGCCTGAGCAGCACTTGATGGGCGCAGCGCTGAAGCAAAGCGACGTTTGCGTGTCAGGAAGTCTTGCGTGGCCAAGGCGCGGCAGCAGCCAACGCAGCAGCCGGAGCTGAGTGAGGAGCCATGTAACTTGCCACTAGCTTGCCCTAAGAGTGAACCCCCGCCCAAAAAGCTACCGCCGACAGGTCTGTGGCGTTTCATCTTTGTATGAGTAGCCAAAGCCTCACACATGTCACACTGCGTGTGAGAGGTCGCAGCATGAGCCATTTCTGTTGCGGGCGCGCAGCGTTTGACTGCGCAACAGCCGGTTGTCCTTTCACGAAGCTGTGCCAGGCCAAGTCTGCGCGCGTCAGCGTGTGGGGCCCTTTGGAACCACGCGCGTGGGTTTTAGCGTGAAAGCTGCATGGGTTTTAGCGTGTGTTCTCTTGAGGGTCTTATCGCATGGAGCCATGGGGGCGTCTGAAAGCCTCGGGGCTCCGGCTAGGGTTCTAGAAGAGGTCTGGGAACAGCGGCAGATCGTGTTTGACTTCTTAGAGACGTGGGCAAGACGTGCAGCCTTGAAACACACCTGCTACTTTGGTTCCCCCTTGCCACCGTTTTGGGGAACCAGCCAACACTCAGATGCATGTTCGCTTTTGCCAGGAGAGCAGTCTCGCCCCGGCTTGCGCAATGCCGCGCTAGTTGATTTTTGCGTTTGCGCGTGAGGGCAGGGTAGAAGACCGGCAAGAAAGCCTAACGCAAAGTGTCGGGTCTGCCCGCTGTATCTATAGCTTTCACTCACAGCCGATTGGAAAGACGAGTGGCAGGGAGGGAGGCGAGTTCTTGGCTGAGACAGGGTTCTTGCACCCTTTTGTGCAGGTCGAGCGGAGTTGCGGCGCCGTGCCTGAGGACACGGTTTTGTCGCGCAGAGCACATGGTCTTGAGCTTTGAGGCGTGGGAGAGTTCGACAGATTGGGCCCCAGTCCTCGCACTTAAAAAGCTGCGAAGCCTCAGCCCTTTGTCTGAGGTGCGTCGTCCACACTGCTTGGCATGAGCGTCGAGGCCGGGGACGTTGCCCAACCCCTTCACCCCCGTAGACTCTTAGCGCTCTTAGCGGGGTTTCAGCTGCCGTTACCCCACGGAGTGCGGAGTAGTTCTGTTTCGCAATAGAAAACATTGTTTTCTTAGAACGGGAAAAAACTACTCCGCGCATTTTTCAATGGTATTCGCGTGCGTTTCAGCGCAGTCTACTCCGCGCAGCACCCTACCCCGCAACTACTCCGTGCTCTTTCTAAGGGGGGAAACCGATTCTCCAATTAAAAAAACTACTCCGCAAGTTCTTCATCGCCAGTTCTCGGCTCAAAATGGCAGCATCTTTGATCTTGTTGGCCAAACGCCCCTTGTTTCTTTGTTGCTGTCACTAGCGCAGCAGTATGGTGTCCGAGTGACTGTAACGCGGGACAGCTCTGACAGTTTGGTGGAAGCTGCCTTTCGTTCAGTGGTGAAGAAAGTGCACCCTGACAAGGGGGGAGCTGTTGCTGATGCCCAGCGCTTGCAGCAAGCCCGGAAGGAGTGGCAGGATGCCAAGTCCAAAGCCAGTGCGGGAGGCGGTCGGCCGGCGAAGGCGGCCGTTGTGGCAACCGTTGCCAAGGAGGGGCAGCAGCGAACGCTCTACAGGATTCGGTCTACTGCTGTGCTGCTGACTTACCATGGCATCGCGGAGGACGCTTGGCAGGCGTTCCTTGCATTTGTGTCTTCGCACTTGACAGAAGGGGGGGTCGCCAAGTGGTGTGCCTCCATGGAAAGGTGTGCTTCAGGCTTGCCGCACGTCCATTTCATGGTGCAATTCTTTGCGGCGTCTGACAGACGGGTGGTTGACGTGTTACGGTGCAAGACCAAACGCAAGCTCCACTGATGTGTGCGGGGAAGGGCTTTCCGGCAAGCAGCTTCAGCGCTGCGTGGACCGTGGCATGTTTTACGTCTTCGCAGACAAAATTGGCACGGTCTTTGGATGCGACGGCTTGCCGTGCACGCAAGGCAACTATTTGCCATGCTGGGCGCGTTGTGACAAGACTTACCAAGTTCTCCACAAGTGGCCAGAAACCTTGTGGAAACAACGCAAGGTCACTTCGGCCACATATGAGAAGCTGGTAATCCTCACCCGGGACGGCGTGGTCTCCAGGAAGCGAAACCTTGAAGCTTGCCGGGAACACGAAGAGGCAGCTGCTTCGCAGCTAGCGGTGGCAGAGCGGGTTGCAAGGATTCGTTCCAACCCCAGCCTGTACCAACCCTTCAAACTTTTCGAGGTTGATGCTCTACGCTACCCCATCTTGGTTGTCCTCGGACCTTCCCGTGCAGCTTGTTCAAGCACCCGTTGGAGCTCAAGATTGGGACTTTGGAGTTCTTCCCCGACTCCATGCGTCAGTTTCAGCGAGGGGTGCACGACGGCCTGGTCTTGGATGATGTGAGGGACTTGGTGTTCCTTGTCAACCGCCAGGAAAAGCTCCAAGGCAAGTACGACTGCCTCGTCGAGTTTGGCTCTACAGCCGGCGGAACTTGTGCATACCACCGTGATTTGTTTGGCGCGCCCGTTGTTGCCACCGTGAATTACTCGACTAAGCACTTGGAGTACTTGGAGAGCCATGACTGGCTGGCCAACCCTGGGAACAGGTTGTGGTGACGCTGGAAGGTAAGCAATTCCGTAAGTGGCCCACTTAGTTTTTGGATTTTGTTAACGCCAGACTTCTACACACGCTCTGGTTGCAAAAGACCCAAACCCGTGGGTTTGACTTGGAGCGGAGTGTGCGAAGCGCAGTAGCTTTTGTGGGTGTTATGATTGCGCCTTCTGTTTCGCTTTGCAGGCCCGGCGCTGACTGTCGGGCACTCAGCACGGTAGTTGAGTGGGTTGACAACAGTGGCTGCTCAAGTTTGCTACTGTCAGGCTTGGTGTTTTGACTGCGGTTGCCAGAAGCTCGTAGGGCGGGCTGGGTCGCCCAAGTTCGGTTGACGCCGCCGGTGCCTATGTTGCAGGTTTGCGACACACGCTTTCAGGCCTGGAGCTTGGAGTTGCAAGCAATGATAGCTGACGGATTAGGGCAAAGCAGCCAGGCAGTCGCTCATGCCGCAACAATGTTTTTTCACCAGGTCTTTGAGTTTTGTTTGAACGGAACCGCTTCTTTTCGGCTCCAGCAAAGTCACTGCTTCTGTCTTGCAAGGCGGCTATTGCTTCTCGAGGTTAGCGCCGGACGTGTGGCCATGGCTCCCAAACGGAACCCGCAGCCCGATGTGCAGGCCTCAAGTGCAATTTTCTTGCTTGAACGCTGCAAACCTTGCAACGTTGCGCCCATTTTGACCCACAGCAGTTTTGTGCTAAAAGGCGCCTTGTTGCCTTAGGGTTTAGGGTGGCTGGTTTTCAAGCTGGCGCGGGGCACCAGGCTGACAAAGAGAGTTTAAGCAGGGCCCGGCCAGGCAAATCACCGTGGTTCCAAAAAGGAGCGGTTTCGCACCAATGTTTTGCAAACGGGCCAGCCAGCGCTAAATTCTGTGCTCCTTGTTCAGGTTTGCTAGCAGCGTCGTGCAAGATTTTTCCTGAAGTCAAGTTTGTGTCCCAGATGGCGCTTCAGTCTTGGATTCTAGCTGAACGGTTTGCGGCAGGGGCAGGGAAGAGTTCGCCTGACCTGCTTGGTTTGCGTTTGAGCCACGGTTGTTTTCAGGGTTGGATATGTGTCTTGAAAGTAGGCCCTGTAGGTTGGTCCTCTGCAGTCCAACAAGGCAGACCAGTCGGCCTTCGACGTGCTGGAGGGCGTGGTGGCGACGAAGAGCACCCCGGACAGCGTGGACCTGAAGCTGTCCAACTACAGCACCACAGCGGCCATGAACGGCTCCATCGCCTCGGCCAACAACGCCACGCTGGCCACGGTGGCCGCCAACTACGGCCTCAAGACGGTGGTGGACCAGCACTCCCTAGACATAGCGGCGAGGATCACGCCGCTGGAGGTAGACACCAAGGTGGCCAACGCTCTCCGCAGCGCTGGCCGCCGAGCTCGCAAGCAGAGACGCCGCCATCTCGGGGCTGCAGGCCTCCAAGGCGGACGCCAGCGCGCTGACCGCGTACGCCCTGCAGTCGGCCGTGGCACTTCCTCTGAGGCGGACTCTAAGATAGCGACCGCTCTCCTGGACGCCGTCACCACGGCAGCCCTGGACGCCGCCCTCGCCGGCAAGGCGGACGCCAGCGCGCTGGCCTCCCTGCTCTCCACGGTGGACGGACTGGACACTCCACTGGAGGTAGACACCAAGACAGCAAATGCCCTGCTGGCCTCGCCACCGAGGCCTTCGTCGCAGCGCAGCTTGCTAGCCGGGACGCCAGCATCACGGCGCTCCAGGCCTCCAAGGCCGACACGGCGCTGCTGGCCTCATACGCCACGAACGCCGCGCTCTCAGCCAGCGAGACCACGCTCCAGAGCGCCCTCGACGCAATCCTCGCGGAGCTCGCCGCCCTGCAGCTTCCCGGAGGCGGAGTTGTTAACGCGCCGGCCTGGGCGGGCTTACAACTTGGGAGCTCCTTCGCGGAAGCAACGTCGTTCGCAACCTGCTCCTCTCTCTGCTGCGCTGGCCAACGGCGACGACACGCTGAGCATCACGGCAGCTACTCCGTCGCAGCGGCGGACGCGGCTCACGGCTGCGCTGCTGGCCTACTACACTTCCTCACAAGTGGACACTCTGTTGGCCGACTACCGAACCGGAACGGCGCAGGACACGGAGA